ATGGATGTGGTTACAACTTATCTTTGTTCACTTGATAATGAAATTTATATGAAAATTCCAGAAGGACTTAAAATGCCTGAAGCATATAGTTCAAAATCTTAGGAAATGTGTTTAACCATATTACAAAAGTCATTATACGGCTTAAAACAATCAGGGCGCATGTGGTATAATCGCCTCAGTGAGTACTTGATAAAACAAGATTATATAAATGATGTCATTTGTCCTTGTATTTTTATTAAGAAAACAACATCAGGGTTTGTTATTCTTGCTGTTTATGTTGATGACATTAATCTCATTGGAACTCCAGAAGAGGTCCTAAAGGCAATTGAATATCTATAGAAAGAATTTGAGATGAGAGACCTTGGAAAGACAAAACTTCATTTTGGTCTACAAATTGAACATTTAGCAGACGGGGTCTTCATCCATCAATCTGTCTATACTGAGAAAATCTTGAAGCGATTTTACATGGACAAAGCGCATCCATTAAGTACTCCAATGGTTGTCCGATCACTTGAAGTGAGTAAAGATCCATTTCGACCTCAAGAAGAGAATGAGGAACCTCTTGGTCCTGAAGTACCTTATCTTAGTGCAATTGGTGCACTTATGTATCTTGTTAATGCTATGAGGCCTAACATAACATTTTCTATTAATTTGTTAACATGATACAGTTTTTCCCCTACACTAAGACATTAGAACGAAATCAAACATATATTGCGATATCTAAAGGGGACTAGTGATGTGGGTCTGTTTTATACTAACAAAGATAGTGCAGATTTTGTTGGTCATGCATATGAATGTTATTTATCTGACCCACATAAAGCTCGATCTCAAACAAGCTATTTGTTCACATACGGAGGTACTGCTATATCATGGCGATCTACGAAGCAGTCCATTGTCGCTACTTCTTCAAATTATGTTGAGATAATAGTTATTCATGAAGCAAGTAGAGAATGTGTATGGTTGAGATCAGTGACACATTTCATCAACGAAAGATGTGGTTTGAAGTGTGATGTCAAGATACCCACAGTGCTCTTTGAAGACAATGTTGTATGCATAGCTCAATTAAGAGGAGGCTTCATAAAAGGAGATAGAACGAAATACATTTCACCAAAATTATTCTTCAGACATGATCTCCAGAAGAATGGTGATATTGATGTACAACAAATCCGTTCAAATGATAATCCAGTAGATTTATTCACCAAATATTTACCAGCCTCAACTCTTGAGAAAATGGTACACAATTACTTTGTCTATAGAAAGTGCACATCTAATATGAGATTGAGGGAGTATTAATTTGATTTTTATACGGTGTTTTAGTAATTCTACATAATTAATACTTACATAACTTATGAGAAAATCTATAAACAATTTTATGCGATCAAGGTAGAAGGTCGAATAAGTTATGTGAGTATTGATTATATATAGATTAAAATAATAAAATGGCACATTTACCCCAATTAATTTACTTTAAAAAACTTTCTTTATTTATGTGTACTTTAAAAAAAAAATCTATTTGTTTACTTTTACGACTAATCGAGTCACTAATTACTTTAAATTATATTATATGTATGTGGGTATTAGCTACATATTTTGTGTTAGAATTGTTTAATTGGATAAAACCAAATTTTTGTTTTTCTCGTATACTTTTACTGTTCATATTTTGTTAAGATATGGTTAAAATTATTTTTTATGCATATGTAGTAGATGTTATAAATACCTTTCAACATCTTCATATATTTACTTCTTCATAATTTTTTTCTTAAATTTTGACTCCACCATTGCCGATAAGGTCTGCTACAATAGCATTCTTTGCTCTTGGACGGACAAAAACTAGTAACTCGAATAGTTTGTGTAGAAAGTGTTAAAGCATTAGTTGAAATATTATGACCGGTATTATTCATAAGAATAGGATATGAAATATCGTTAGGGTTGTTGGAAATCTAATGAAATACACTTAATCAATGAACTTGGAATTCCTTTTTTTTTTGTGAAATATTTAAAATATCCGACACTTACAAAACTTATTTTAATATTACCCACGCGGAAAAAGATTTTACCCATTAAAGCAATAAAATTGTAGGAAAATTCTGTTAAAATTGTATTATAATTGTATAAGGGGTTATATGAAAGTTATATTTAAGTTTTATGTATATTGTTATAGTTATACATATAATATTGTTATAGTTATATTAAGTTTTCAGAAAATATGAACTTTATAATTTTATATATATATATATATAATATATTAATTTATATAATTTTCTCATACACAAAAAATTATGAGTGAAATTATAAGTTCAGAGAATTATATACATACTTCATACGATTTTATACAAATTACACACACAAAAATTGTGAGCAAAATTGTAAATCTTCAATGAGATATACATAAAAATTTGAGCAAAGTTTTTAAACATCCTGAAAATTTTCATATATATTTGAAGAAAACATATTTTCTGTTTGGTAAACTAAAATATCCTATTATGTTTCCTAAATGAGTCTAATTTTGTGTATATATAGACAAAAAAAATAGGGGAAATCATACGGATAAACAAATATATATTAGTTAATTAGTTAATATAGCTATAGTTTGAATTAATTATCACCCGCAACCTTTTTTTTAGCTATAATACGTCCGCTATACATAAGCAAATACAAATTATACAATAAATATACAATTATACGACAGATACACAAATACAATTCACCTTTCACCTCTCTCCACTCTCTTCCCTCTCTCGCTCACCTCTCTCAATCTCGCTCGCCAGATATACAAATACATATGTATAACAGTTACATATTTACAAATATCTGACACACACACACACACACACACACATATATATATATATATATATACACACACAATTCGACATATATACAAATATAATACACCTCTCTCCATCTCTGCCCTCTATCGCTCGCCTCTCTCCTTCCTCTCCCAACCTTGTTCGCCTCTCTCCTCCATCTAACATGTAGCTATAAATCGTAATTAGCAAACTATAGTTATGAAACCTAATTAAGTGTCTATTTGCGAAATTTCCACGAAGGAATATGAGGAATTGACACAAACATGCAAGCAAAATTAGCACGTATTAGCCTAAAAGAAATAAAACCACTTTTTATAGTTTTTTTCTTTTAATCATGTGCAACCAACCTGCATTAATTAAGGAGATGTGAGATTGTTTTTTCTTCCTTGTTTTTAACTCCTATAATTAAGGAAGTTAGTTTTTCAATTTCTTTAAATTCTCAAACTCAACTTTATTTAACTGTCTATTTAAAAAAATATATTAACGCAATTTACAGAAACATAAAGATATATTTGATTGTAATTTTATGAATTTTTTTTTTACCAATCAACAATACTTAGTTTATTAGAAAACTGATTGCCTACTTTTAAGAAGTGAAATATATATATATTTATTAATTAACCCATTAAAAAAAGGTTACACCAACCTTTAAGGAATGAATTTTTTAAAATTCTTTAAATAACTTATTAAAAGATTGTGACTACTTTTAAGGTAAGAAAATGTATTATTAATGCTCTAACATGTATTAATTATCACATAATCGACAACAATTAATCATATAATATTAAATGACATTTCATTAGAAACTGTAATAATACATATGCATAAATTATACAATAATTAAAGTTGCGATTACATAATGTATACATAAAAAAATATGTATTCACAAAAAAATATTCATAAAAATAGACGTGAAAATTTTATTGATGTATAAAGTAATTGTAGCATGTATACATAAACTTTATTGTATACATAAAAATATTACCATCAATTATACGTATTACTATAATGAATACAAGAATGAGATTAATATGATACATATATAAATTTTATTCATTAATTGTACATGTGATTTTGTTTATGTATACGGTAACTGCACTATGTATACATTAGTTTGTATTCATCGTGTATTCAGTGATTTGTATTCACATAATAAACTTGTATACTTTAATTTAAATTGAGATTGGAATTCATTGGTATACATTGGGTTATATTCATCAAAATCAACATTCTAATTTTTTACGAAGATCTAACGAGAATCTTTCTTACCCATGAAATTGAGAACAAAAATTTCAAAAAACTATTACCTGAATTTTCGCCAAAAAAAGTTATAAAAACTTTAGTTCCACAAATCATGAAATTTCAAAAGTAATGGGGCAAGAAATGCTACATAATTATATATTAAAAGAAATTGTTGGATGGATCAATAGATAAACATACAGCTATATCTGATTTGCATAGACAAAGTAGATTAAGGAGAATAAGAGAAAATTTAGAAGAGAAGCAAATATACATATGAAAAGGATTTTAGAAAGAAAACAAAAGAAGATTGAATAACCTAAATTTTTGCAAAAACTTCAATTCTACAAGTCATGAAATTCACAATTTATTGGACAAGAATAAGATTATATGTAAAGATGATTTTAGAAGTATCCATGAAAAAACATATTGTTATATTTGATTTTCATAAACAGATTGAATTAAGGAGAAAAATTGAAAATTAAGAAGAGAATCAAATATACGTATGAAAAGAATTCTGGAAAGAGAAAAAGGTGACAAAAAAGAGAAGAACTCTATTTTAAAACTGTTGACAAAATAATTTTAAAAAAAGAAGATAAAATAGGGATAATAAAACAATAATTTATTTTTATTTTTAAAAAAAAAAGCAGCAATCAAATGTGTGTTTGAGAAAAACAAGGAGGACAAAAATACATTTTTAAAAAAAGAAAAGAAAAATAACAATTCAATGCCAAATAAATAAAACAAAGTTTTTTTCTTGCTAAAGAATTAAAATTGGGCTATTTATTGCTAATTTAGTCTATAGGTGTCATGCTGTGCCATTTTGTCAAGGAATATCACATACGGGCTACTTAGGCCCATTTATGGCGGCAAATCAGTGTGAGCTCGGCCCAACTACCATTGCTCCATGTCTTCTTCAAGAGTTATCTTTCACAGCCATATCCACCTCAGTCGAAGCTTGTACGCTTCGTCCATTGTTAATCAGCACATTTATAACAGTTACAAAGTAGAAAAATCTGTGCGGAAGGGGACAAGAATCAAATAATTTCTCTACATTTTAGGGTTTTCTTCTACTCCAATGGCGACTCACAGTTTTTCATTACTTTCAATCCAGTCTTTAACTTCCAATTCTAGCAACAAACAAAGTGAGAATACTAATACTTTTTTAACCCATAAGTATTGTAAAGCTCTAGCTACTACTTTTACTGGAGGAAAGCTCTTGATTCGGCCGCAGAATTTGAACAATTTTACTCTCAAACGTCATCGTTCTACAGTAGCAACGGTTGCCTTCAGCCTCCCTATCACGTAAGCTTTCATGTCGCTCTTTGTTTGGATTTCATTTGCTTGTAAATTATTCACTCCGATTCAATTTGTTTGTCCTAGTGTTGCATTTAAAGTACATTTTACAAAATGAATAACAAATTGCTGTTTCCGACTGTTGGTTTTTGCTTTGCAGGAGACCAGAGAGTTCTGAGAAACAGCCCAAGTATGTTTGCTTAGTTAGTTTAATTGGTGGCTGTTTAATTTTGTGTTTTAAAATAAATGTAATCAACTATGCCTAAATCACAGATCACTTGGAGTTGGTTTATGAATCATATTTATCCATTTGATTTGTAATGTGAAAAAAAAGCTTGTTGAATAATGTTGTAGATGGTCGTCAAGAGCAATACAGGCATTTGTAATGGCTGAATTAGAAGCAAGGAAGCTCAAGTACCCAAATACTGGCACTGAAGCTCTTTTAATGGGCATCTTGGTTGAAGGTTAGCATCAAACTCAGTGGATGCTTCTGTAGAAACTACGTTTTGATTCCTATTATGGCATACGCGTGTGTGTGTATGGATAGTAATTCATCTATTAGGTTAGGAAGATAGTTTTTTGAGTTTGAATGACGAGAGATTTGCTTTGCTAGGGACCAGTTTGGCTGCCAAGTTTTTGAGAGCAAACGGTGTAACCTTTTTCAAGGTGAGTGAAGAAACACTGAAGTTGCTTGGAAGATCCGACATGTATTATTTCAGTCCAGAGCATCCTCCCCTTACTAAACCAGCTCAAAAGGCTCTTGACTGGGCAGTCAATGAGAAATTGAAATCAGGTAATGCCCTTGCTTTTTCTATTAGAAGATGTATCTATCATTTATGGATTTGTCGAGAACAACCCCTGATATGAGTGCGCTATGAACATATAAAGCTTAAGATATAATAGACTTACTTGAGTGGTTTTAACAGGGACATCAGCTCTAGATAGTATACCATTTTCCACTGTACAGAGATGTGCATGCATAAGGTTTAATCAACAAGAATTAGAATAGGGATAATACATTATCTTATAGGATATAATATTGATGGTAAATAAAATCCTCATAAAAAAGGAATAATACATAAAATCCCCTCTCAACTATAACCGAATTCTCAGCTACACAGTCAAACTTTTTTAATGACCTACTACCCCCTAAACATCTTCAAAGTGAACTTACAAAGGACCTATTACCCCCATGTATATCTTCAAACTGGAATCTTGACCACCTTAAGAGGCCAAAATCAGATTTAAATTGGCAGTGTAATGCTGCCACGTGTTTTCCATGTACTCCCTTGTCCTAAATTATGTGATGCATTTTCTTTATTTAGTTTGTCCCAAATGAATGATACCTTTCCATATTTGAAAATAATTTAACTTTTAGCTTTTCATTTTGAACTTAGTGAGTTGATTTATAGCCGCACAAGTATCTATATCTTTTTTAGATCACAAGTTCCAAAAAAAAAATTCTTTCTTAGTCTTTGTGCCTAATCAAAGTGCATCACATAAAATGAGACAACAACAAAAAACCCTCGGTAATCCCACAAGGGAGAAGGTAGGATGTACACAGGCCTTACCCCTACTTTTGTGAGGTAAGAGCAGTGTTGTCAAAGGCGCGCTTAAAGGTGGTCAAAGTTCCACTTTTAAAATGTTAGTGGGTGGGGGTGATAGGTTCCTTGTGAAGTTTGAGTATGTAACTGGAAATTCAGTCTTGGTTCAAGGTTTTCTTATGTATTACCCCAAGTGGAATGTCCTAAACATACAAGTGTACTAAAATGTATGTCAGGGCGCTTTTAGTATCTCGTATTGTCCTATCTGAGACAGCTCAAACTCAATCAACAGAATTAGGTGGAAGCTTCAAAGCTTCAAGTTTCTAACTCATCAAATAAAGAAATCTGACACCTATAAGCTTGCAAAAGATATATTTAGGTCCTTGTTTTTTTCTGTAGAAAAATTGAAATCCTATCATAACTTACTACCAAGTTGTCCGTCAGTGAAGAATTACATTATATGGCTAGAATAAAGCTGATTGATTGCTGCAAGGAAGACTCTAACTTTTGCCTGCAATCCTCATTGATCAAGCAATGAGGCTTGAGTGTGACATTTATTGGATAACCCACAAGTACTATCCACGATATGGCTATACCGCTATACACCTATACCAAAGTTGACTGCTTGCTGTTTGGAAGACTCTTACTTCTTCTTGCAATCCACATCGAGCGAGCAATGAGGCTTGAGTCTAACTTGTATAGGATAACCCGCCTTCGGATATAGTAACATTAGTGGCATTAAATGTACAAATGACAATTGCTTTCTGGAAAGGTGGATATAAAATCTGTAAATCCGCATCTTAGTACCACCAAATAGGCAAATACTTTAGAATCTGAGTTGTGTGACATCTAGAGCCTGCTCCGCTAGTCACTGTGATGGAAAAATTAGCATCTTTAAATATATTCAGACTTCACAGGGTATTGTAGTTATCATCTTTTAGGTTTAGATTTTGTAGGTGACACCTATTTGTTGGTTGGATATTGGTGCAATAGGATCCTTTTCTGGACCTAATTGAGGCATGCAAGTGCGATTAAAGTAGGCATGGATCCAAGTGGGATACAACATGAAAATATTGAGTTGAGTACAATTTCTTAACATGCTATGAGGATGCAAAGTTGGTTATCTCAAACAAAGTCCTTGTAATAGATTTGTAGTGGTTGTGTGCTTACTGCTTAGGTTGCTCCTCATTAGATTCCGGCAAGTCTTGTTGATTGATCATGCAAGAGCTTAAGCAGCAGTAAACTGTGGTGATACCACAAAGTAGAACTGATGGCTTCAGTGATGCACACTTTTTCTGTTTAATTATTTCACTACCAAATCAAGGGAAAGAAAGAACTTTATGTAATTTCTTATTTCTGTTTTTGGTGTGTGTGTGTGCGCGCAGTTTGGGGTGTCTATATGTTGGGTATCCATTTGTATTCAGATCTATTTCATTCTAATACTGAATAATTTGTCGTATAGGAAAGTTAGGATCTAAAACTAGATATTCTCTAAATTTATACTTATTCCTACACCGATATACAATCTCTAATGACAAACACTGGATCTGATGTAAGTGTAAAAATGACAATTAAGCTTTAATCTCTAGTAGCTGGTATTGCGTATCAATGCTGACTTGGCTAGAGATAGACTAAGAAAAAGATCCATATAGGTGGTAACTACTGGTTGAGGATAGGTTTCACCTTTATATTATCTTTTGATGAAATAAGTGGTTGTATTAATAAAAAAGCATCCAAAAGATGCAAGAATTACAAAAGTAGGAAGAGTCAGCTCCGGGAAAAGGCAAACCAATATCATATCAAGAAACAAGGGAGCAGACAAATTCCAAATACAGATCAGGGTTAAAAACAGGTTTATGAAAACCCCAACTAAAAAGAAGAACTAAGCATCTGGGTTTAAGTTTGGAGCAGACAGTGAGATACCATCAAGGCATCTTTGGTTCCTTTCCGTCTATAAGCACCACAAAATAGTAGCAGGAACCATAGACCAGATTCTTTTGATGGATTTTTTAACTATTCAGTTGCTCCAGCTAACAAAAACCTCTCTGAGACTGCTTGACAAAACCCACTGTGGACCAAAAAGAGAGAATATTGACTAGATATCAGCAACAATAGGACAGTGAATGAACAGATGGATAACAGATTCCAGGCTGCTAAGGCACATATAGCATCTGTTAGCTAAGTGGAATTTTCTTCTGTTTAGGTTGGCTTGAGTTAGGCATGCATTATTGAGGGCCAACCAACAAAACATGCGGACTTTGGTCAATTTAGCCATAGAACAGTAAGAATTTGGGGCTTTTGTATATAAGGTTTCAGTACAACCCATGTACTGTTTTGTGATATAATACAACCTTACCAAGTTCAAAAAAAAAAAAACATGCGGACTTGGGGGGGCATCTTGATCTTAACTGAGTATAGGCCACTGCTGCTGCTACCTCATTTGATCATGTCATTCCTCTGAGGATTTATAGTAATTGGCTGGAGGTTGCATAGGAGAGATGTCAATTCTTCAAACTCCATGTCATTCAAATTTCTTCTCAGTTCTGGGAACCAGATGTTCCCCTCTTTTTTTTTTGAGACAAGGGTAACTTACCAGATGTTCCCCTCTTAGTTCTGCAATACAGTGGACTCAGGATTGGATGCAATTGAGAATAACACAGGGTGGGCCTCCTTTACAGTAATCTAGCCTAACCAGAGATCTTTCCAAAAAAGAATATCATTGCCATTACCCACACGTTGAGAAGTATTTAGGGAGAAATCAGTCCACAATTTCCTTATTTTTTTCCACAGACCACATCCATGAGGGAGCCTGCTAGAGCTAGAGCACTGCTGGCTATCTCTGCCATATTTAGCCCGAATAACTTCCTTCCAGAGACTCATACCTTCTTGATTATATCTCCTAGAGTCCTAGTGATTTGGTATGAATAACCATGTCTCATTTCACAAGGTGGAATTTATGAACCTTCTTGTTGTCTTCCCACAAAAAGGAACACCTAATTCTGTCAAGCTGCTTGAGGACTTCAGCTGGTACAGGGAAAAAGGACTGTAAGTAGGAATACCATTGACTTAACTGGTAGTAAGTGTTAGTCTGCCTCCTAGAGAAAGGTATTGTTGCTGCCAGGAAGCCAAGCTTTTCTCAAATTTCTCAAGAACCTCATTTCATATGTCAACAGTTTTGTATCTGGATCCCAGAGGAAGTCCAAGGTACGTGGTTGGAAAAGAGACTGTATTGCACTCATAATCTCAGCCATTTCATCCAAACCAGTAACCAAATTGACAGGGTAAATGACACTTTTGGACATATTAATGTGAAGCCTTGAAAGTGCCTCAAAAATCATCAAGATCATTTTGAGTTATTGGACTTGTAACCTCTCAGCACCACAAAAGATAGTGTGTCATCTGCAAATAGCAAGTGAGAAACAGTGGTAGAGGGGCCAGTCCTACTGCCAACACCAAGACCTTCCATGCAGTGAAGTTGTTTAAGCCTTTTCCAACATTCTATTGAGGTCTTTCACTGCAAGGATCAAAAGAAGGGGGACAGGGGATCCCCCGCTTTATTCCTCTCTTGGGGGAGAAGAAGCCCACAGGGCTCCTGCTTACAAGAACAAAATATTTGATAGTAGAAAAAGAATACCTAATCCATTTAATTCATCAGTCTCCAAGGCCCATCTACCTCATAATAGAGATATGGTGTTGCCAATTAATCTTGTCAAAAGACTTTGTAATGTCCAGCTTATAAACCAGACTAGGTTCACCACTTTTAAGTTTCCAGTCTAAAGCTTCATTGGCTATAGGAGCAACATCACAAATCTGTCTTACCTTTTATGAAGGCATCCTGGTAGCCTGAAACTAACTTTCCAATCACCTTCAAGTGTCTCAGCTAGCACCCTAGCCACAATTTTGTAAACACTACCAGTGAGGCTGATAGGTCTGAAGTCCTTCAGTTCAATTGCCCCCTTTCTTTTAGGGAGGAGAGCTATGAAAGAAGGTTAAAAGACTTCACCACTTGGCAGTTATTGTGGAAGTGAAGGAAGGTGCTCATGACATCCTGCTTAATGGTTCCCCGACACTTTTGGTAAAATGCCATAGTAAAACCATCTGGACCAGGACTCCTGTAAGGGGAACAAGTGTTGATGGCATTCAAGACTTCTTCTTTAGCAAAGGGGCCCTCCAAAACAGCCCTATCATCACTGTCTTAACTTCCCAGACCTTCAAATGTAGCATTGGGTCTCCAGTTTTCATTCTCAGTATACAGGTCTTGATAGAAATATAGTATCACCTTCTTTATCCTCAATTATGCCGTCCTCCACCTGCATTCTATCAATACAATTGTACCTTCTGTGAGAGTTGACAGATCTTTGAAAGTACTTGGTATTTCTAGCTCCCTCCTTTAACCACTAACACCTGGACTTCTGCTCCTTGAGATCTCTTCTACCCTAGCTAACTGTTCAAGTTACGTGCCTTGTAAATAATTCCTAACTGCTCAACTGTTCAAGTTATGTGCCTTGTAAATAATTCCTAACTGCTCAACTTCGCTTCTGCCCCAAGCTGATCCTGTTCGCTCCCGATTTGTAAAACGATTACATATCTGAAAGAAGCATGAATTGGTCAATGGATGACCTCAGTGTCAAATCCGATCTGTCCAAGAAGAAGCCTGTCTTCCTCGCCAAAGCACAGAGAGGGCTAGTATGATGATAAATGAACTTAAATTAAGAAGCGGAAATTTATATAGCTGACACCAACTTGTTTGGGACTAAGGCATAGTTATTGTTGTTGTGTTTTGTTCGTTGCTAGGTCTGCTTGGTTCCAAGAGAATGTCTAATTAAAATAGCTTCGCTTCATATGAGTTTAGGTCTAACCCGTTCACTTTAAGAACTTTTAGGGTCGTTTGGTAGAGTGTATAAAAAATAATGCTAATAATAGAGTGTAGTAGCAATACTTGCATTAGTTGTACATAGATTATTTCTTATGCATTGTTTGGTTTGATGTATTAAAAATAGCATGTATTGTACCCTTCGGGGTGGCCCAGTGGTTTGGGCTTGGGACTTCTATGTTGGAGGTCTCAAGTTCGAAACCCCTTGCAAGCGAAAGCAAGGGGTTTGCCTTCTGGGTCGAGCTCGTCGCACCGGGCTTGCCTAGTGCGGGTTACCTCTCCTATGTGGTTTGCGAGCTATTGCATAGGGGCGGGGGTTTTACCCTGCGCATCTAAGGGGTAGCGGCTGCGGGTTTCCCTTGTCATAAAAAAAAAAAACATCTATTGTACAAAAATATCCTCCACAATTATGGTGAAAAAGATGTAAAAGTGCTTTGAGGGGTATTTGTGTCTTTTAAATATTAATGCATGCATTAAATCCCTTTGCATTACTAATACCTAGAAATCCATGGTATTAGTAATACACTCCCCAATACACAATAGAGTGTATAACTAAACAAGGTATTACTAATACACAAAGCTAATGCAAGCATTATTTTTGTTAATACACTCTACCAAACGACCCCTTAAGGTGTACCTTTTTCTTTAACTTTATGCCATAAACTCTAATAAAGTTCTTCATCCGCAAAAAGGGGAAAGCTTTGTTGAAGTTGATTTATTTTATGTATTCATTTACTTACAAATAGCATTTGTTATTCATGGACACAATATGTGCAAGCATATCCTTGTCCTTATTTCCATTTTATATAAATTTGTTGTGCTGAGCTTGAGGCAAATGGCTATACATTTTTCCCGTTTGTGACTCCTCCTTTAGTAGTAGTATACTCTCTTTAAGCTGCTCCATTTGCTAATGTTATTCTCGGCCTGATTTTGGAAGACAGACTGTACTAATGGAGTAAGACCATCTCAAACAGTAGTTTGAAGATTATACTCTTCACTTATTTTTATTTCATGTGATACCATTTGATTGAACTGAAGTTTGAAGTGTTAGTTTTTGCATCTTGAAAATTTGAAGTGATTTAAAATAATATTTATCAATGGAAGGCAGTGAATTATTTTTTGAGTTAATATTTCAAAAGAAAAAATTAAATTATTTGTGTTTTGTTAGTTTAATACTTAAAAATATGAGGTGGTGTTGTTACCTCAGAATTATAACACTTTCAAGAGTTAATACCTAAAAAAAAACTAATTCTAAATTATCCATGTTTTGTTAGTTTAATACTTCAAAATATGAGGTGGTGGTGTTACCTCAGAACTATAACATTTCCTAGCCAAAAAAAAACCCTGCAGTGCCAAATGGCATGGATAGTTGTCACGTCCCGAGCCTATACCCTGGACGTGGCCAACACTCGAAAACCATTACTGATCCCCAAGTGAACCCTTGGCCTGGCTAACTACTTAGCGGAAGACTTACTCAAGCATTTTTAATTTTAAATAACTAAAGGGAAACATTTAAGTCAAATATTGTCTTATGGGAATACTGTAAATAGTACTCCCTCTGTCTCAATTTATGTGACTTACTTTCCTTTTTAGTCAACCCCAAAAAGAATGACACATTTCTATATTAAGTAACAATTTAACTATAAAAGGTCTATATTACCCTTAATGAAATGATTTACAGCCACACAAATTTCTATTATTCATTTTGGACCACAAGTTTTAAAAGTCCTCCTTTCTTTCTTAATCTCCGTGCCGAGTCAAATTAACTCACATAAAATGGGACGGAGGGAGTAATAATTTAGCAAAATATCTAAAAATAAATATCGAGAGACTCTCTAACATTGTCTTTCTATGAAACCTCTAGTGTCTGAGATAGGCGTCGAGACAAACCTATGGCAACCTTAAATAAAACTTCTAAAGCAAATAAATAACTGGAGTCCTCCGAAAGCAAGGAGGCCTAACCAAAAACTGGTAAGACCTGGGTAATATCAACGATGTGCCTGCACGTGTATATGCATCGTAAGATGATGCAGGTCGAATGACATCAGTACATTGAATGTACGAGTATGTAATAAGGCTGAGTGAAAATAACTGGACTAAAAGACTGAAATATAACTCAACTGACATGAGGTAAAATCATTTAAGCTTCACAAATAAAATGCAATAATGGCAAATACTGAACTAAACTGAAATATATAATACAAATACTCTGGTATGAATATATGGATCGTCTTGGAATCAATAGATTAGTCGGTATTAAACAAGAAAGTCACTGAAAAACGGACCGAAACATGTTCATGCGTCAGAGTATTAGATTTGATGACTGAAAGTGGTTACAATCTGAGAAATAAAAGTATATAGGTAGGGTTGAAATGATGACACAACTCTATTGTGAAAGAATTATATGGGTAGGGTCGGAATGATGGCACGACCCTATTGAAAAATAAAAATTATCTGTGTAGAGTCGGATTGGCGACACTACCCTACAGAAAAAGAGAAATCATATGGTTAGAGTTGGATTTACGACATGACCCTACTGAAAAAGAGAAATTATATGGGTAGGATCGGAATGATGGCACGACCCTACACAAATAAGTAGTCACCTAATAAATGATGCTACGCAAATTAGACATAAAAAAGTAGTCGTTGGAAAGATTGCATGGTGCTACACAAATCGGATATGAGAAAGTAGTCACCGGAATGATGGCATGGTGCTACACAAATTAAATATGAAAAAATAGCTACTGGAAAGATGGCATGGTGCTATACAAATTAAATATGAAAAAGTAGTCACTAGAAAGATGGTATGGTGCTACAAAATTAGATATAAGAAAGTAATCACCGGAATGATGGCACAATGCTACACAAATTAAATATGAGAAAATAGTCACCTGAAAGATATACGGTGACCCAACTTTTGCTAACATAATCGTTGTCCAGACGGATGGTATATATGGGTAATAGTCACCCGCCGGCAGCGAAAGCTCTTTGATTCTCTACCAAGGTCGTAGAGACTCTGATACCATGTGAGGAATATTGGAGAAAAATATTTCTGAATTGTGTATCTACATTATACCCATTTATAGACACTAAAAAACAATCCTTGACCAAGTAGAAAACTATATATTATTCTTATTCTTATTTCTATTTCTATTTTAAGTAGGATTGTATATACCTATTCATATTCTAACCATAACAACTCCTCATATTTTAAATTTAACTAATAAAATGTGGATAGTTTAGAGGGGGTTTGAGGTATTAACTCTATTTTTATATCACCAAAATGAAAAAAATGCATAAATTAGGATATCTAGAGAATTCATTTTTGTTTTCCCCATCTTGAAGTAATAGAACCACATCATCTAACGGCCTTGTCATCTTTAAATTTTCTGAAGGTAACGCGCACCACTGGTTCTTGAGAATTTCTCGGTTATACAAAGACAGATTTGCTAACTCTTAACTGTGTCATTTTAAAAAAAGAATCAATGTTGCATCAAGTATCCAAGCCACTCTTCATATGACCTAAAGCCCGTTATACAAATTTGTTCACCTGTTTCTTACATCATCTAACACATACACTGAACTGTTATCTTTATCCACCACCGTGACACGTTATTATGGAATTGATAAATTTTGTTTTAGTGTAGAGGGTGAAACACCATAATTTCAGAATGACTACATACCATTGGAAATGCATGATGAAACACACACAAAAAGCTAAAACTGGATGCCTAACATTGAGCTAAAAATGTCAACCCAGGTTCATTTATCTGGGGATATGGCAAGTGTCATTAGACTCTTGTTTACATGTATTTGTGATGAATTTACAGGTGAAGATGGGGAAATAACCGTCACACATATTGCTCTTGGTATTTGGTCAGTAAAGGAATCAGCTGGGCATATAATAATGTCTACACTTGGTTTTGATGACGAGAAGGCTAAAGAGCTGGCCAAATTTGTAAGTTCCAAGCTAGATCTATTTTTCTTAGTTCCTCAATGGGATTCTTTACATCCTTTTCTTGCTTGCAGATGGACAAGGACATTGAGTTGACCTATAAATAACTAGTATTGGAAGCACAAGCATTATTTGATGCATCCTTCCATCACAATCTTCAGCTAGTTTCTCCTGCAGAAGAGCTTAGTAACAAATGTTCATGGCCTTGTAAGCAATTTTCCCCCATACACAATTACCATTTATTTTAACCCGTTTTCGGTAGACGACATTTTGTTATCTAAACGGCTGGGAAATTAACGCCATCAATTTCAATGTTTTAGTATTCCCCAAAAATGCAGTAGTCTCTTTGATCCTCCTTTTTCTTTGGTTTGGAGAACTGTTTTCATTTAAGGTACAGAATGCTCTCCGTTTAAAGATGGTGATTCGAGTGCCTGGGGAACAAAACTATAGCTTGATATTTTCAGTTTTACTGATGAGATCAAATCAAGTGAAATTTGATCTAGTAATACAAGTTCCTAAATGAAGTCTAATATTTAGTTTGAACACCTTATTTCAGCTTGGAGTAGTAAATTCTGAACAGAAGTTACAAGCTTACATTTTACTCGTAATTCTCACCCACTATATCTTTATGAATAGTTGTAGACAATGATCACAATGCCTCGATAGTCAGCATTGGCAATTTGATCATGTAATAACAGTCTTGATATTTTATCCTCTTAAGAAAAGTCTAACAGACATGGCCTTCCTAAGGGCTGGTCTTGATTAATTTTTTTGTCCAGCTCCGCTTAAGAAAATTTTGATGTTTTCCCATAAGGTAGAAGTTCAGGGCATTTTAAGATCGTGAACTTACTCAATTAGCCAAAAGTTGGAGCTTTGGTATGTTATTTACTAGACATTCAGGATATTTCAAGACATTAAACCTATTCACTTGACTACAAGTTCTATCTTATAGGCAAACATTAGAACTTGGGCTTGATGGGCAATATAAATTCGTTTCAACAAATCTTTTCAGGTTGAGGTCATTTTAAAAATATTTTACTAAGGAAAAATAACTTAGTTGTTCATAAGGAGCAAATTAATTACACACTATTAACATTACCAATTTTTTAGAAAAGGAACAAATTTATCACACACTCATGTCCTTTACTTTGAAGCCACTTAAATTATATAGTATATAAAGTATAGAAACTCCAACAATTTGGGCGTTAATCTTATTCGGGAAATTTCTCAAAATATAATAATTTTAGATTTTTCAGAATTTGCGAATACATTATTCCTTTGCCGGATACGTAACAAACGATACATGAGTTGTGTATAGATTTAGGTTTGAAATAATTGAGGTTAAGTATCAACAATAATATTTGTATCAGATGCATTATATACAAACAAAGTTGTAATGTATTTGATAGAGGTGGAGTGGTGATTCGGATGTTAAAACAGAGAGAAAGGAAATGGAATTTTTTTGTAATTAATTCAAATTGTGGTGATTTTTAAAGATTATGTTATCTTAATTTGATAATTACGTTAATTTCCCTAAATTATAACTACACATATTCCCCATTGTACCATTTTGTAGCTAATTATCTCCTTTTTCATTTCATTTTATTTTTTAAAAGAGAAAATACATAATTACCCTATCAAACTTAGATCCTTTTTGAAATAGACACTTTAAGTTTGCGGGAACCTATTACGCCACGAAATCATTTAACCCATTTTCTCAGCAATTGTAATTTCATACTAGAAAACCGCAATAAAGAGTAAAATTGCAGTCCCAAACCAATACAAAACTGACACATGGCATTGCCAAACCAAAGTGAAAAAAAAAACCACGTTTCTTCTTCCCCAAACCACTATTATGGTTGTTGAGGGCTCTTCTCAACAACAAAAGTTGGTTCTTTACCACGGAAGCGAATTTCTTTATTATATACTCTATCATTAAGTTCTAGCAATCCATCTTAAGGCTTTTTATTAGAAAAATCTACTTAACAACAATATAATACTTAACCAATATAACACCTAATTTTATCTGTCATCAAAGAAATTTGAACTCATTTCCGTTCATATAGTTTTTCAAGATCAAAAGTATCAAAGAAACTACCAGTACGAATTTTAAAAAATGTGAAATTTACTACTTTCAGAATACACACAAAGCTAAAAAGGATTAAACTGTATTTTTGGAGAAAAAAATTGAAATCAAACACCAAACAAACAACAAGAACACTAAAAAATAACATAGAAAACTTACACATAAATATATATTTACAAAGAAATCCAGGAAAAAAAATCTTTTGAAGTGAAGCAGGCCGGAAGAATTAGGAAAGATTTTTAAGGGTTAAAATGTGAGTATGTCAAGGTTTTACCTGACCCCACTATTAAAAATGTAAGAAAAATAAAAAATATTATTTTATTTGGGAGTGAATAACACGCACAGGTTATGAGAATTGTTGGAAATGGTTGGATGAAATAACAGGACCCCGCAAATAAGGATCCGTTTGGCCATAAATTTCTCAAATAATATTTGGAGAAAAAATTGGCAAATAGTGTTTGTCCATATAATTTGTCATTATTTGGCAAATATTCCAAATTCCCAAATACTAGTTTTTTCTAGTATTTGGGCCAAATCTCATTATTTGGGATCTTTTAAAAATTAAAATTTTACACCAAACTTTTGTTTTTTACAAAAACACCCTATATAGTAGTTGCTTGCGTTGTATTACATAATATTTTACGTGAACATCAAAATAATGATGAAATATTCAGTGAATATGAAAGTGATGTTATGGTTGTTGATGAAAATGATGAACAATTGGCTCAGGGTAACAAAGTCATGTGTTTTGTCTACTTCACAATGTATGGAATGATGCTTGTTGCATTCACTTCAAACTATCATATTGCTCCAGTGTCATGGACACTACTTGTTATTTGTTGCAACGAATATTCAGTTGACTTGTAATACAACATTATGGTTAGTTTGGATAGTTTTTAAAACTTATGGGTATAAATCATATTTTTTCTAAAAAGCGAAATATGTTTTCCAAATACTATGGCCAAACACATATTGAAATTTCACCCAAATAATATTTGCCAAAAAAATTTGGAAATCTATGGTCAAACGCTAGCTAAGTGTCTACTTTAAAAAAGGGTAGAAGTTTGATAGGTAATGGTGTATTTTCCCTTTTTCAAAAAAAATTTAGGCTTAAGTCATACACGACCCTTTAAAGTTGTCTGCATAATTCACTTAGACATTTTATCTTGGGCTTGTTCCAATTGTACACCTTCATTAGTTAAAAAAATATATCTATTGAACACTATGTGACAATCAACTAAAAATAGAAAGTATGTGTCATACACTTGCTAATGATGTAGCATAGTAACAAATAAAAAAAAAGACATGTGGCATTTCGTCCATAATAAAAAGTAAAAAATAAATTAAAAAGAAAAATAATAGAAAAACTATGTTTTTAACAAAAAGAAAAAAAAAAAACTCTTCTTTCCCTCATTTCTTCTTTTCAAGATAACCCCACCCAACCCACCCATCCACCCTGCGTCCATCCTTCCGCTTTCTTTACCGGAACACGCGCAGAGTCGCCGCGACTAAAATCAACGATAATCATCTTCGTTCCACCTTTTTTTGTCTCAACGTATTTTTTTCCGCTCATACACTTGTCCCTCTCGTTTATTCCGATATCCATCAACATTGTAGTTGTTATTTCTCTCAATCTCACTTTTTTTTTCAATCATCAATTCAGATTCTCAATTTTTTTTTCTTCTTCTATGTTGTGAGTTCTTTAGGATTTGAATTTTTTAACAATTTGAAAGAAAATAATTTCATATTCCTATTAGCCTTGCCGGAAAAAATAGAATTTTGTCAAAATTATTTTTGACGCATTTGATTTTAGTTTTTGATAATATTAGTAATTGTGGAATGCCGCTAGTAAAAATAATCATCAAGAAGTGTATGGGAAAGGGGTGTGGCGGGATCATGGCAAAGAAATTTGGCCGGATTTTTTTTTAAATAATATGACATTGAAAAATTTAATTGGGGATGACACAACCAATAATTTAACTAGCAAATTAAGTTTACCAGATTCAGGTTTTCGTTTTAACAAAAAATGAAAAAAAAAAAGTAGAACGAATATGAAGTGCAAGAGATTTTTAAGATGATGTAAAGAAGATGACAGGTAAAGGGGTGTGGGGTGGGGTTGTTTCTTTTTCTTGATTAAGAGCTTATTCTTTTATTTTATTTTTTATAGTTATTTAGTTAATGTATGCAGGTGTGAAAAAAGTAACAAATTATCTATAAAAAAAATTAAAAATTAAATAGGAACCTATTCACGAGCTCAACAGCGGTGAGGTACACTTATTTTGCCACGTAAGCACTTTGTATTTAATATGTATATGTTTTGAACAATTTAAGTGTTCAATAGATACAAGTCCTAGTTAAGATGTCTAAGCGAATTATGCGGACAACTCTATGACTAAGCCAAACTTTTATATACACCTCTACATGTTTTGTTTTTTTCTCTTCTTTCCTTCATTTTTCTTTCTTTATTCAAAAATTATGTTTTATCTTTTTTTCTTTTTTCATCACAATCTGATTCATATTCTCTGGCGCCTTCTTTCCGTACTTTTCTGTTTTCCATTTTTTCTTTTTCATTTTTATCTAGTGCTCATTTTTCTAATTTTATTTAATATTATTATTATTATTATTATTATTGTTATTGTTAATTTCTTCGTTATCTAATTTCATTTACTTTTTGCTCTTTTTCTATATCATTCTCTTTTTTTTTTTTAAATCATAGTGAATTTTCATTTGGATATGCTTTGGTTCTTCCGTGATACATTTTTCGGTCCACTATGATATTCGTATGGTATATATCATATACGGATATGACATCATCGAATTTACGCTTAATTTTGGTATTTCAATTTTATATCAATTTTAACAAGTTAATTATTGTAAAAGATAATTTTGATTTTAATAAATAAGCTAAATGGAAAATTTTCTTAACAATTTCTTATTGTAGTATATTAATTTTATTTATTTATTTTATTAATCTAAAAATAAATTTATTTATTTTTTGAAAGGCAAAAATCTACAAAGGGAGACAAAATTTAAAAGAGATAAACTAACAAAAAATGAAAACAAAAACAAAATAGAAAAAGAAGAAAATAAGTATTAAAATGTTATGAAATGATTTATTTCTAATAACGGTTAAAAGGTGACAAAAAGATAAAATAATAAATGAGAAAAAGAAAATCAATAAATGAAAGGACAAAATAAAGAAGAATCCTACACTGCTTTTGTGTGCAAACTAGAAGCATTTTCTGTA